TTTTGTGCGAAAAAACAAACAAAAATAACGACTTTATTCGTCTATTCCTTTTCTTGCTTGTTGGCCTGAAACGAGACTTCCATAAGATTTCCACGACGCATGCGCGAGAACTGAACTGAAGTAGTTAAAGGAGATCGCAATTCTCGCGCATGCGTCGTGGAAATCGTATGGAAGTCTCGTTTCAGGCCAACAAGGAAGAAAAGGAATAGACGAATAAAGTCGTTATTTTTGTTTGTTTTTTCGCACCAAAAAATATTCTCGTCGCTTGATAAACTTATAGTTGAGCCACGGTAGTCACATAGAATATTTAAACATTTTCTTCATTGACTTTCTGGGCCGTCAAGAGCCAGTTCCTTAGGAGCCAATGTGGTAGTTTTACAGTTCTCAAATTTAATCAAAAATATCTTCATTTGTGTTCCGAAGATGAACGAATGTCTTACAGGGTTGGTACAGCATGGGGGTGAGTAATTAATGACTTAATTTTCATTTTTGGGTGAACTAACCCTTTAAGACGGCGTTTTAACCAACTACTAGCAATTAGTTAGGGCTAATCAGTCTTACATTTGGGATTTAAATTAGACCAAACAACTTTTTAATATACCTTGATTTAAATGATTAAATAAAATGGCCAATGTTGAAGAAAGAAACTAGTAAGATTTGTAAGACTAGTCTGAGCAGTTTCCGTTCTGAGGTGAAGGAGATATAGTGCCATGTGATATACAGCAGAGGGCGCTATTGCTCATAGTTGTGGAGACCACATCAAATCTTGAAATGCAGTAGGTAACAGCAGTGGTGAGAAAAGTTTATTTTCTATTTTAGTTTCTTGTCAAAATGTATTTCTGCAAATGTCATTCTTTTATCAAATAATTGTTTGTTGTATTGTATAAAACACAATATTCACTATTTTTTTTTTCCTGATACTGACAGTAGGCCTACATTGGTGCTTTACTAGTGTGTTGGCATTAGTGATCATTTACCAGTAGATGGCAAAATTGCCATATTGTGTGCTACAATAATAGTAGTGCTACAATAATCAGAACTAAATTGAAGGTCAGGTCAAGAACAGAGCAGCACCTGATGAATGAAGGGCACTGGCTCAGATGTTTGCAGACTTTGCACATGGGGATTTGAAGCTCATATTTAATCAGGAGTGAAGCCAAGATCAGATTATTTTATTGTCTTGTGGTTTTAGCATAATGTGTGTCATTATTTATTAATGTGACTCTCATGTGTTCCTCCTGGAGTCACACACACACACACACACACACACACACACACATACACGTGCACAAACGGGTGATGATGTCCTGTGGCTGTGACAGGTGGGTGAAGGCTTTTGAGTTCACAGTGCTGTCTTGCTGTCTTCCACATGCTCTGTTTTAGAGATTAAAATAAAACTGACATTCTGTTTCTATGAAGCATTAGTCATCAAAATATTCCCTCTTAAACAACACAACACATTCACATTACTTTACGGAGAAATAAATTATTCAGATTTCTATCTAACAGTGCCAGTGTTGTCCACGCGTGAACATACAGGCATTAAGGGAGAAAATCTAATTCTGCATGTTCGAAAATTATGCAATTTAATTTTAACTCACTGATATGTTTGGCACCTTTAAACCTATTGTGATTTTTTTTTTTTTTTTTTTTTTTGGATGCAGTGGTCGCTACAGCAGTCTTTATTTTTGTAAAAATTATATATATATATATATGAAACTCTACTTAAAATCTACAGTTTCCACTTATCATTCAAATATTAATTTTTTTTGTAGCACCTCGTTTTCGAGTCTGCCTTGAATGTTCTGTTCAGTTGCTGTTTCGATGAAGCCTCTCCTTCTAAAATACAAAATGTGCTCTGATTGGTTTGCTGGCCAAGTGTGTTTTGATTGGCGAACTGCTAAGAGCCTGTTCTAAACGCCCCTTGACATAACCGCAAGTTGCAAGTTGCATCTGCTCAGGTTTAAATATTAACGATGGCCTCAATTTTGCCAAACCAATTCAAGCCTGATTCAGACCTTGAGAATGTTGACGAATATGAATGTGCAGAACCTCAGAGAGGTAAGTTGTTATTACAAAAGTGAGAGCCCTTAATGCTATCAACACTTTAATGTTAGCTAGCAGGCTAGAGGAGCCAAACAACTTTACCCTTTGTTTACATAGCAGCAACAATATAAAACTTACAATTGGAACTGTTAAAAAAGGAAACAGTTTTTTGGGGGGTTATAATTTTCAGGAACAGTGTTAAAAATTCATTCCACTGTTTTCTAAGTTTGTCTGAAGGTCAAAGAAAGGGGTTTTGGAACTGGCCTGGAAAAAACTGTCTCATCCCCCTCTTTTTTAGCGTATTCCTCTGGCAGGGATTATAAATGAGTGATATTGCGACTTCACAAGATCTGAAAGAAGCGTGTTGTAGTTCTTGAAAACTGTTTTCTGTTAAAGATCCTTTTGGAGTGGACTTTAAACTTTGTAACCTTGCAGATCTTTTTCAATGCACAAACAGCAACATAACACACTAACTAAAGTTGAAAAAGTGAAAAAGATAAAAGTCGAGTTTGTCATTTTTTTTTTTTTTAATAAATGGACTGATAGGGGCCCCTTTACAAAGTTTAGGGCCCCCAAGTGTAGGACCGGCACTGACCATCAACCCTTTCATCCCAAAGCGCCATATAGGACGCTTTTGCAAAAGCGTAAATATCCAACGCACATGGCACCCTTTAACGTGAAATGGGACGCAGATATATTTGGGCAGAAGGCGCCCCCTAGTGGTCTAACCCTTACCCTACACCTTACCTAAACTTAACCATAACCGAAGCGTCTCATTAGACGTTAAAGGGTGCCATGTGCGTTGGATATTTACGCTTTTGCAAAAGCGTCCTATATGGCGCTTTGGGATGAGAACGCGTTGCCCTTTCTCACTGCAAAATTCCATTAAATAAAGAGAATTGTCAATTTTGATTTAATGTTAACTTTTTATATAGATGATTTCATAAAAATTGTTGCAGGTTAAAAGATACATACAAAGATACAAAGAGAAACATACGATACAAAGATACATTTGGAGATACAACCACCCCATAAAAAAATAAATGAAAATTGTGACTCACCCTCACGTCATTCCAAACTTGTAAGACTTTAATTTTTCCCATTTTTAAACATGCAATCTCAAAGTACAATGGGAAAGTAATGTTTGAAACAATAATGCCGTTTCCATGTATTTATCTAGTTACATTTCCCAATAACATTACATCTCTCTTTCCCCTCGCCTTCACTTTCCCTTGTCAGGAACGTGCTCCACTTTATAGGATTGCATATAGTTTAGCATGAGTATTTATTGTAAATGTAAAAATCTTTCACAGTAAAGTTTCCCTTTAGACCACCTGACTGTTGGAAGAGAGACTTTCACGGCTGGAGCCTTTAGGAGCACTGTGCTGCTTTAAAATTGCATCGTAATGGCTGGAGGCTGACAGGTTGCTTGAACAGTGGATACATCTGAGTTCTGCGGGGGGTAGAGTGCTGATGGGACATCAAGCTCACGTTCTTGAACTAAAGGCGAGGAGACAGCATGCACTCCTTGAGTCATTTTAGGTTTTTAGGTTGCTTGCAGTCACAAAAGGGCATGAGACTGTATGAGTGTCATTGCAGAATCCTCTGCCTCTAGACACTTTTCTTCTGGAGCATAAGCCCCTGTAATGTTTTGCTGTATCCCAGTAAAAATTTCCTGACAAATCAGTGTCTGATAAGGTACTGGGTTACAGTATACATCTGAAAATAGGCTTTCCGACGTTATCATTTACATGATTTAAAACTTGAAGGGTGATTGTAATGTAATGTGATGTGAGTTTTAAAAAGCTTAGATTAAGCTTATAATAATGCCTGGGTGTTGATATATATATGAAGAGTTCAGATGCAAAAGCCTCTAAATGCCATTTGAAATTTTCTTCTTTAATGATGATTTTTGTCAAACTTGTATATTTATGTTCAGTAATTTCACTTAAATAACAATTAATAGGTAATTATCATTGCCATTTAAGTGAAATTACTGAACTTAAATATACAAGCTTGATCAAAATGATCATTCTAGAAGAAAATTTCAAATGGCATTTAGAGGCTTTTGCATCTGAACTCTTTATATATATATATATAATTTATTTAATAAACGTATGTATTAAACAGAGTAGAGGCTTGGAACCGGAAACGGTATTCAATATATCACACCAATGGAATATACAGTATCTAAATGGTTATTTCAAAAGTACAAAGTAAAAGATGTACACTATGTAGTGTTCTTATACAGAAGCAAGATTGGATTATACTTCCATATTTTTCATGGCAAATTCTATTATATTTTTGAAAGATTTCTTAGTAAAAAAAATGAATTAGTACATTTGCTGGGATAGGCTATTAGTAGACCTACTGTTTACTTATGACAACTTAAGGTTTACTTTAACAAAATGTAAGGTTAATACACACACACACACACACACACACTTGCAAAGTAGCAATGAAAACAAACCACTGCTTTATATTTGGCCACGCAATGCACTGACTCGCTCTCTCTGAACGCTCAGCCAATCAAATGAGAGGATTAGAAGAACGCATTTTTGTATAATTACGCTGCTTGGGCAATCAAATTATTAGAGGACCGAAACTAAATATTGTATAATTATTATTTTACTGTTTTGTATATTATATGTAAAACAGGTGTTAATATTATTATAGTAGCCTATTAAGATAGCTGTCTGGTCTCCATCACGAATACCCAACATTATTCTGAATGAAAAACGGAATAAATCTTCTTTTAATGCGGATAAGTAATAATGAATGAAGGGATGAAAGAGGGTTTATTACAGCCCGAGCTGAAATTGGTGAATGAAGCAACGTTACCGTTGACAACCACAGGATGGCAACACACACAACTCTGCAGTTAATCACATGTTCACTGGAGCTTTGAAGTTGCCCGTGGATGTCATGTACCAACATTGTGATGGGTGCACACTGCACACATAGCCATAAAAGTGCAGACCCCGACACACGGAAGCCCCGACGAGAGAGCCGAGGAAAGTTGTCGGGGGCGCACAACTTATCCACACCCCACGAAGAGATGAGATCCCACAGGAGAGACGCGCGCCGCCTGAACTGCACGGTTTATTTAGTTGATTAAGAAAAGTTTCATGAAGATATACAATGTTTATAAATGGGAGTTCTCTGAACAGCTCTGCACTGGACCCTAGCGAGCAAGCACTTCACCGGCCTCCCTGGGTCACTACTACTCTCGGGTGTTTCCTCATATTCACTATAGTGGTGGATATTTTAGGAAACCTGCTGGTGATTTTCTCCGTCTACAGAAACAAAAAACTAAGGAATGCAGGTGAGTTGCGCACGCGAGCCAGCACAGGTACAGTCATGTTTGACACGCTTGTCACATTTATTTCAAATGAACTGCTTAAAGGTGCTGTTTCGAAGGAGACAGAAGAGGATATACCAATGACAGGCAGGATTCAGAAAGATGAGCGCGCACGTTTCTTTCCATCAAATCAACTCGCGGTTTGATTCCTAGATCTGTAGCCTACATTCTGTGTTTGCCCTTAACGCTCGCTGATAAGAAATTTCTTTCAAAAGCAACTAAATTGCAGGCCACTTCAAACTACAAATGTGTGCGTGTTTTTACGCGCTGCTGTTTCCAAACGTGCCATCATGTCCAGCATTCACAATGTTTAGCCAATAAAACGTTGCTTTGGTTGATTCCGGACTAGGCTACATGCCAGTGTTAATGTTACAATGTGATAAACACAGAGTCTGATTATTGAGCAACTTGTAAACACACTTCGTTAACAATGTTATGACTTTAAATTTAATTTGGACCCTGTAATGCATCAAAGGCAGTAACTCTAGCCTAGATATGCTTCAACACACTCAGTGTCCATTCAAATGGACCTTATGTTTTTGGATGAATTCTGCGATTACATCTACATCATAATACATTTAAATAAGCCTAGAGGTGGCGGCTAGCCACAATCATATCATCATATATTGAGTTGCCATTATAATGGACAGGTCTCAATGTAAACAAAAGCCTACTGTGTGCTATATTGCAAAACAGCTAGATGGGATTTCAGTAATAATCCTGCTTCACATTGTGTTCAGTCTTCATCAAATCTGAGTGCCTTTCAGACCATGTCTTATATAAAGTTATTATATAGGCCTCTTTTATTTTCAAAACAATTTGACCGTAACAGAAACAGGCCATTTTATCAATTCTTATTCATGCTTATAGTCCAAACTTCTTAAGTAAGATGGCAAAGTTGGAGGTGGCATGATACATAGCCTAAAAAAAAAATAGCAGGTCAGTGAAAGGTTGCAGCTTTGAACTCTAGAAGGCAATCCGAGGGCAATCATTCTCCTTTCATTAAGTGTAGGCTAGGCTATATTTGTCTACATTATCGCTGCACTTAGATTTTTATTTAGTTTTTTTGATGACCTTTTACCATTCAGAACAAGTAGGCTAATTGAATACCATCTTTTAGACTGTTTAATATTTGTTTGTTTTTTAATTAAGTGATTACCCCCCCCCCCCCCCAAAAAAAATGTATTTTTTAAATTCCTTATTTAATTTTCTAAATAATGTACAAATTCATATAATCATCTGTTAGTTGCTATACTGTTCAGAACCAATTCTGAATGGGCATCAGAATTTTTCTTAACCCAGGTCTGAACGGGTTAAATTAATCCTTTTAGGGACTCCATATCTTTGTACCTGTCAGCAGTTGTACTTAGGGTCTTCCCTCTCTTTTGCTGTTATCTTTTGAGATTGTCTGGCTGGCACATAGCCTGAGTGTTAAACGCTGAACTCAACCTAGAGAGGCTTTTTGGCTCTGTTAGGGAAAATTAACTCGTTCGTTGGATTTGATTGACATGCTGAGCCGGATATATGGCAGTTTATTTTGGCATTCATCTAACCACATTAGTGTTAAGTGTCATGGGATTGTATTTCTTGGCATGTCAATCATAGAGTGGGAAAATAACATACGGACAGGAAACCTGTCCAACATCGTAATATCAGCAGATCAGTGCTGGGAAACGTGACTCATGTAGACTCGTTAGAATAACATCGGACTCAATTTAATTAAGCTTTGACCCACATTGTGGAAATTGATTTTTTTCCATGGCTCTCATTAAATGTATGTGTGTGTGGAGCGCGGATAGTTGTGACGTTGGAGAAGTATGGAAAGAGCTCGACGGATATCCGCGCTCGCTCGCGTGCCGGTGGCTGTTTCAGTGTCGAGTTCACGCGCTCCACACTGTCAGATCCCGTGCGCCTTTGCGCTGACAGACGCTATCACAGAGATTGCACTGCAGCATGTGAGTCTGTAGCCTGCTTCACCAGCACAACATGTGATTCATGCTTTCATTCATTTGGTAACGATTATAATCCCCTATTTCATTTCTAATCCACAAGAATCAAACAAATCAAATATAGCCTACACGGGCTTACGCAATATAGTCCATAATGTGTTGCCAAGTCATCGTAAAAGCCACATCAAAAACTACACAAGACGCTATGTTACTAATAATATCCAGTTGCTTAATTATTTAACTCAATTAGCCTGTATATCATAAAAGTTTGTATAAGTATAAGAGATTAATTTGCAGACTGATTCTTGGTATTTAAAACTAATAAGCCTATTTTATGTTTCTTGTGTCAGGTGGGCTTACAGGGAAGAGTATTAGTGGCTGCTATTGTTGGAAATGATTGGAATGGAAGCCCCTGAGACAGAGAGTGAAAGACCAGATTGTCAGAGAAGCAGAGAAAAGAGCACAGAGCAGAGAAAAGAGTGTTAGAGATTACAGCATTTCTCAAGGGAAAGATAACAGTTTAGTGGGATCATGATATGATGGAAGCTGTAAAATGTCTGTAATCCAAATTCATCATTTTTATCAACAATTAATACGGCTCATTAATAGAAAATAATACAAATTTAAGCGCTTTTAATTTTTTTTTAAATTAATAATTTTGCATGCAGTGTAAATACACCTTACATGCCCACACTGACTTTTCTATTAAATTGATAGTTGTGTTCCCATGTTTTATGGGGACTGTAAGGATTTTATTTTTTTATAGTGTACAAATGGTAGCCTACATTCTATCCTCTAACCCTAACCCTACACCTTAGCCTACTCATCACAGAAAACTTTCAGCGTTTTTACATTTTCAAAAAAACATCACTTGGATGTAAGCTATTTTCCTCACGGGGACCAAACAATGTTCCCATAACAAATGTTTAGGACCACACACACACACTAACATGTAAAGCTTAGATTTAGGTAATCTTAAGCTGATGAGTACTAGTCTAGAACACTTAGTCTCCTTGAAAAATAATATAATTTGTCAAATAGAGCTTATTTTTATTCCTTTTAAAAGGACACTTTTCTTTTGCTGAATAATCACACAGCATGTTTAAAAATGGCTCTTCCCTCACCTGTTTTAATTAAGTGAGGACGGGCTCATTTAAAGGTGCTACTTTTATGATGGAGTCACACCTGGATTTTGTCCAGCAGCCCTGGAGGCAAACCTAGCAGAGCAGGATAAAACACAGACAACACTTTACTGTGGACCCCCCGGCCACTCTGCACCTGCTGTGACTCCTCTCTTCACTTCTGAAGAAATGTGTACAGAAAACACACAAACAAGTCGAACAATTTAAGTCCCTGTTTGAAATTCAGAATGATCGAAGCAGCCACCACAACTGGTGGACATATGGCTGTCCTCTAGTGCCAGATGAACGAGTGACAGTGTGTGGTGGGGGAGGAGTGCTATGCCGCTGCCTGTGTGATTCTAGTGCTCGCTCATAATCTGGGATGTCTCTCTCTCAAATCATTGTAAGCGGGCAATCGGAGCCTTGTTTTTAGGTCAGAGGAGGATGTGTGTGGTGTGTGTAGTCACGGAGAGCTCTTACTGTATGTATGGCTTTAGCACACAACTCAGCTTAAAACTAAAGTGTTTTTTTGTTGAAGGCTATTTGCACAATTGGTCCTGCTATTCACAAGCACTCTTCTAATTCTGTTGGGTGAAGAGAGTTGTGTGCAGTGAAGACATGGAGTGTGGTAGTTGGATGGGGATAATTTTTAAACTTTTTTTTTTTTACGTTTTTACAGTTAATCCAATGAAAGCAAAGAAATTCTATATTTTTTGTTGGTCATTTGTTATGTGGCATGGGATTTGGGGTCAGTATCAATTTTTTCATGTTTTTGAAAGAAGTGTCATGCTCACCAAGAAAAAGTAAAGTAAAAGTAAAAAAAAATACAGTAATATTGTAAAACATTATTGTATTTAAATTAATGTATTTTTAAAATATTATTTATTCCTCTTATGGCAAAGCTGATTTTTTTTTAGCAGCCATTACTCCAGTCTTCAGTGTCATTCACCCTTTAATCTTATTATTTTTTTTATTTTTATTTTTTTGATTGGACTATTGGCATTTTCCCTCTGGTGTTCTCAAGCCTGATATAATTTGTTTGTCACAAATTATTCTCTGTTTGTATTGGCTGACTCCTGTTATTTTCTCTTTGCTATTTTGTGGCTTGGGTTAATGCACACACAACATTGATTAATTCACTTCACTGCTGGTGTTTATTTTGCTGTGGTTTATTATTGTATAATTTTGATGTGCGGGTGGGGAGTGATGATGCCTTTACTGTGCTATAAGTAAATTGTGGGAAGAGTAGTAATACTCTAATAGTATAGACAAGGAATTAGTGAAGATGATCCCAATGATATCCTTTCTGAAGACTTTCCAAAGTCTTGTTGGACCTTACTTAATGAGAAAGGAAATGTTTTGCTTTGAAACACTGTAAAAAAGTTTTAAGTTGACTTAACTTACTGCAGGCTGTAATTTAAATTGGCCAGCCTCGGGGATAATAAAGTAACCTTGAACCTTAACTTTAAAAAAGTAATTACTTAGTAAAACTTAATAATAAGTTTAATATCCGTAATAAAAAAAGACAAGTTCACATAACTTTCAACATATATTCCTTTTCTGTATATATATATATATATATATATATATATATATATATATATATATATATAAACAATTATTTTGTAGGAGACAATTTGTTGTCTTTATAACATCACACATTTTTTTTTTTATAAATGTACAGTGGGGGCCCCTTTGTGAAAGGGGGTCTTATTGCAATTAAAACGTTTTAAAAACTTTTGATCTAAACCAGTGCCATGGATTTTTAAGTGAGCTGAATTGTCTAAACCTTAGTATTTTCAAAATATTTTGTAGGGCCACAGTAGTTGTTATTAAATTCCACATTCAATAACATGAATTCTAGGAATCAGAGCTAATGTGTATCCATTAGGCT